ACTCTGCTCTGTGCTTGCCATGGGCACTGAAGTCTGTTCAGCTTTCATCCATAGTCTGCTCTCCTGCATCTGTCACTGCTGAAACGCTTCCCGGTGCCCGTTCCGACTGGTTGCATGCTTGCTGCTGGTTATTGCCAGCAGTGCTGTGAGCACTGGGCTGCTTTCCTGGCCAGCACCTGTGTGGTTCTACAGAAACACACTGTCACTCACAGCAACAGCACCTGTAACTGTTTAAACAATTGGCAGGGAAGCAATAAAATAGTTTAGTCTATGATGATACGTTTTATAACACAGGAGGACACTTACTTGTGTGCTTATCTTCCCAGGCATGCTCTTTGTGAAGAATTCCAAGTGTGGCTTTCTGCTATGACCCAGATAGAGCTGGAGCCAACTATTGACATATCCTGTGCTAAATATGAATATACTGGTCAGTCTATAAGTGATTCTTTCCCTAAAGCTTCTATGTATGTGTAGGGAAAAAAATGTCTATAGAACAACTAATTTTATTCTAGTTTCAGAGGGTCCCAGAGGCTGTCAGCAGCAAAACAGTGTCTGAAAATGAACTACAAATGACGATAAAAGTGTTGCTGGTGTATACTGCCTGTACCTTCAGAATGGCCTGATCTGTCAATTGTAGTCCCACAGAAGTGAATCTTGTAGATCTCAGGCTGGTGATGCTGATGAGTGAAAATGCAGTTCTTGTAAAGAACATGTTTTTTCTTGTTACATCCTTGTGGGGACAAAACTGGGAAGCAGTTGTTGGAATGAATCATGCATGTACTGAAAGATGCTACAGCAGCAAAACGTGTGTGATTGCAGATGTGTTGCTGTGCCACGATGATGAGCTGGAAGGTCGGAGAATTGCCTTCATCCTGTACCTCGTCCCACCCTGGGAGAAAAGTGATGGGGGAACGTTGGATCTGTACAGCACAGATGGTAAAAGCTCCAAGCTCAGCCTCGGGGGGATGAAAAAATGAAGCTCATGTGCCCCTTGCAGCATTTCTCACCTCAGACAGTAGAAAGGAGATAAAAAGTTTCTCCTTTGTTCAGAGAAGCTGATGTATGAGTAAAGTGTGCCCCTTAGGGATGGGCTGTAGCAGACTTTGCAGACAGTGCTAACAGGCAACAGCAGACAAATGTTTGGAAGGGTTAAGAGTAGAGGCAAGATGGAAGCAATGCCAGTGCTTAGGACTCCAGACTGATGACAATAACTTCCCTTTCCAGCAGCAGAACCACTGAATGGTTTGGGTTGGAAGGGATCTTAAAGCTCCTCTTGTTCCAGCCTGCCTGCTGTAGGCAGGGACATGGGCTACTAGACCAGGATGCTGCAAACCCCATTGAGCATTTCTACGATGGGGCAACCTGTGCCAGTGCATCACTGCTCATAGTAAAGAATTCCTTTCTAATAGCTAATCTAAACACACCCTTTGTTTGAAGCCATTCCCCCTTGTTCTGTTATTCCATGCCCTTGTCTGTCCCAAGTCCTTCTGCAGCACTCTTGGTAGCTCCTTGTGGCCCTGGAAGAGGATTTAGGTTGTCCCAGAACCTTCCCTTCTCTAAGCTGAACAGCCCCAACTCCCTGTGTCCATGCAGAGGTGCACTGATTCCTCAGCAAGCCCTTGCGCTGAGCTCCATGCCTTATGCCCAGGTGTCCCACCAGTCACAGAATCATGTTGTCAGAGAGAAGTCCCAGTTCATATCTTAACCAGAATATGTTTTCTTCCCCAGAACACTTTCAGCCACAGCAGATCACCAAGTCATTAGTGCCTTCATGGAACACCCTGGTTTTCTTTGAAGTGTCTCCAGTCTCTTTCCACCAGGCAAGGAGCTGTCTCTTGTTAATTTTTTAATCCTCATTGTTGTGGTTATTCGTTCTGTGTGTTGTTACAGTCCTGATGGGGAGGGAGAAGAACCGTGGGTAGAGTGGATACTTGTGCTAAGTGCTGTGTGCTAAAGAGAGGCCTTCAAGGACTTGAAGGAGGACAAGAACCAACAAAGCCAAATTTAAACCATCAGTCTAGCTGCATCTTCCTGAGAAAGAAAAATTTCCATTTCTATTTTGTGTTACTATCCTGGCAAGCCACTGCTGTGAATTTAGCTCTCGTTTGTTTCTGTTTGTTAGCTTGTTTTAAACTAGCTGACATTTTTGATATGGTGGTCATGACTTTGCTCCAGAAGAGCTCCTCAGGGCATCCATCACCTTGCCAACAGTGCGAGGGCACTGGGCAGATCTGGCTGTACCCCCTCAGTGACACAGACACGGTGCAGTGCCCTGCAGCTGAAATGCTGATACAGTTACGGAGTACTCTGTGACACTTGTCAGAAAAAGACCTGGGAACAGAATGAATAATTTGGGGATCTGCAAGGCACAAACCCCTGACTGAAATCTGACACTCCTGTGTACCTGAGATTACCAGGGACTGTATCAAACAGGGCCAGAGAGCAGGAGGCTGGAAAGGAAGATGATCAGTGATATAGGTTGGGCATGTCCTGACCTAGGCCGCTTAGGGGGTTATTTCTGTGTTACTTATCTCTTAGAAATGTTAATTAAGAGCCGCATCTACTTGGTCACTGCCCTGATTGTTTTCAGATAGTGATTTAATTTTGTCTTTAAAATCCATTACTCAAAGCTCTCAGAAGAAGAGAGAGAATGGATTCTCTGTGAGCTCGGAGTAAAAGTTTAGACTGGAATTCTGGAACCCTGCAGTGGACTTCAGGACAATAGGCCTCCCTCTGATAATCTGTCCTGGTGTAGGCCTGTCTGACATTGCTGTGTATGCAGTGGGCTCTCTGGAGCCAAGTCCATTTCCTGTCAGGGGTTTGCACGGTGCCTGTTCCAGCTGTCCCTGTGTGACAGTGAGTG